AGCCGTGCTCGAAAATGATCGCGCCAGGATCTATTGGGACCGGGCCATCATCACAGACAGGACTATTCTTGCGAATAAGCCTGATATTGTGCTGATGGACCGGGCACAGTCAAGGATATTTTTGGTCGACATTACCATTCCGTATGACGAGAACCTAGTGAAAGCCGAAACAGACAAGCAAACAAAATATCTGGACCTGGCTCACGAGGTGACTGAAATGTGGGGTGGTCTGCCGACCGAAATTATTCCTGTAGTCGTCTCTGCAAACAGGCTAATCCCAGTCAGCCTCTCGGGTCATCTGAGGCGACTGGGACTACGTGGCGGAACGCTCCGGGCTCAAATGCAGAAGGCGGTGCTCCTCGATACCGCCCGTATCGTCCGCCGGTTTCTTTCCCTTTCCCCCTAACCCTCGGCCGTTTGGTCTCCCCAGCCGAGGGCCTCCATCTGGTTGGGCTTTTATTTATTTATGTATTTTTATATTTATTTTATGATATTGATATTTATGTATATTTATCTTTTCATTTTCATTTATAATTATATATTTATAGAACCCAAGCAGATGAGAAAACTATATAGATACCCCACAATAATAATAATAATAAGGATCAGGTTATTAAGACCAACAACTGTCGGAGATACATCCTAAAGGATGGCACCGTCGACGCCTGTCGAGCTTGTCGCCATCCCGGGGAGTCACTTAGGCATGTCATCTCCGGTTGTTTGGCGCTTTCTAACTCTGAGTACTTGCACAGGCACAACCTAGTAGCCAGAATTCTACACCAGGAGCTCGCTCTGAAATACGGTCTCGTGGACCGGAAATTGCCGTATTACAAGTACTTGCCGGAAGCCGTGCTCGAAAATGACCGCGCCAGGCTCTACTGGGACCGGGCCATTATCACAGACAGGACTGTTCTTGCAAATAAGCCTGATATTGTGCTGATGGACCGGGCACATTCAAGGATATTTTTGGTCGACATTACCATTCCGTATGACGAGAACCTCGTGAAAGCCGAAACAGATAAGCGAACAAAATATCTGGACCTGGCTCACGAGGTGACCGACATGTGGGGTGGTTGGACGACCGAAATTATTCCTGTATTCGTCTCTGCGAATGGACTAATCCCAGTCAGCCTCTCGGGTCATCTGAGGTGACTGGGACTTCGTGACGGACCGCTCCGGGCTCAAATGCAGAAGGCAGTGGTCCTCGATACCGTCCGCATCGTCCGTCAGTTTCTTTCCCTTTCCCCCTAACCCTCGGCCGTTTGGTCTCCCCTGCCGAGGGCTTCCATCTGGTTGGATCTTTATTTATTTGTGTATTTTTTGTACTTATTTTATTTTATTGATATTTATGTATAATTATCTTTTCATTTAAATTTATATTTATATATTTATAGAAACCAACAAGATGAGAAAACTATACAGATACCCCAAAAATAATAATAATGAGAGAATCGCTCGTCACCTGGACTCTAATCAGGTGATGTCGCGCGCTCAAAATGGATGTCGGGGCGGCAGTCGTGGAACCAAGGAACCACTCCTCATTGACGCGGTCATTGGCAAAGTGGTGAAACGCAACCGCCGGAACTTCTCCGCCGCCTGGATAGATTACGGAAGTGCATTTGACTCGGTGCCCCATACATGGCTAAAGAGGGTCCTCGAGCTGTACAAGATTGACTGTACAGTTCGAGACTTCCTCGTGCAGTATATGGGGCAGTGGAGTACGATCCTCTGTCATCTAGGCGAACGGATGACGGCTGCGGAAAGCCGCATAAGGATAAGTAGGGGTATATTCCAGGGCGACTGTCTGAGTCCAGTCTGGTTCTGCCTGTCTTTGAACCCTCTCAGTACTTTACTAGAGGGCTCCGGGAGGGGATTTCAGCTTCGGAAAGGAGGTGCAAAAGTAACCCACCTTTTCTATATGGATGACCTCAAGTTATTCGCCTCCAATCGCTCCCATCTTATGGAATTGCTAAACATCACTTGTGAATTTAGCAATTCTATTAGAATGGAGCTGGGGACGGATAAGTGTGCGGTCCTCCATGTTGAAAGGGGAAGGGTTGCTAACTCTGAGGGCATAGACTTATCTATGCCCGTCAACTTAAGGGCCCTTTCCGAGGCTGAAACATACCGATACCTGGGTATGTCACAGAACATCGGTATCGATGAGGCTGGTATGAAACAGTCAGTTTGCGACGTGTTTTATGCACGCTTGACCAAAGTGCTTAACAGCCTTTTGTCCGGTGTGAATAAGACACATGCATATAACGGTTGGGTCATGCCTGTCCTCATGTATACCTTTGGCATACTCAGGTGGAGTCAGACTGAACTTAACGCCCTGGATAGAAAAGTCCGCACTACAATGACGTCCCATAGGATTCATCATCCGAGATCGTCGGTAATGAGGCTGTACTTGCCGCGAAAGCATGGTGGGCGTGGCTTTCTGAGCGCGCTCACCATGCATAATCGCGAAGTGTGCAGCCTCCGTCATTACTTCCTGGCGAGTACGGATGATCCATTCTATAATGACGTCATTTCTAGTGATAAAGGACTTACCCCTCTATCCTTAGCCAACGAGCAATGACAAGACCCGGCAGTACAGAGTATTTCCGACCGGGAGACCGTATGGAAGGAGAAGGAGCTCCACGGGAGGTACTACAGGGCTCTACATGAGGCTCACGTAGATACAGCCGCCTTCCTCAACTGGCTACGTTTCGGTGATCTCTTCGGGGAAACCGAGGGTTTAGGTATGACGAGAACCTCGTGAAAGCCGAAACAGAGAAACGAACAAAATATCTGGACCTGGCTCACGAGGTGACCGACATGTGCGGTGGTCTGCCGACCGAAATTATCCCTGTAGTCGTCTCTGCGAATGGGCTAATCCCAGTCAGCCTCTCGGGTCATTGGAGGCGACTGGGACTCCGTGACGGACTGCTCCGGGCTCAAATGCAGAAGGCGGTGCTCCTCGATACCGCCCGCATCGTCCGCCGGTTTCTTTCCCTTTCCCTCTAACCCTCGGCCGTTTGGTCTCCCCTGCCGAGGGCTCCCATCTGGTTGGATCTTATTTATTTATGTAGTTTTTGTGTTTATTTTATTTTATTGATATTTATGTATATTTATCTTTTCATTTTAATTTATAATTATATATTTATAGAACCCAACCAGGTGAGAAAATTATATAGATACCCCAATAATAATAGTAATAATAAATAGGAACTTGTCGCCATCCCGGGGAGTCACTTAGGCATGTCATCTCCGGTTGTTCGGCGCTTGCTAACTCTGAGTACTTGCACAGGCACAACCTAGTAGCCAGAATTCTACACCAGGAGCTCGCTCTGAAATACGGTCACGTGGACCGAAAATTGCCGTATTACAAGTACTTGCCGGAAGCCGTGCTCGAAAATGACCGCGCCAAGCTCTATTGGGACCGGGCCATCATCACAGACAGGACTATTCTTGCGAATAAGCCTGATATTGTGCTGATGGACCGGGCACAGTCAAGGATATTTTTGATCGACATTACCATTCCGTATGACGAGAACCTCGTTAAAGCCGAAACAGAGAAACGAACAAAATATCTGGATCTGGCTCACGAGGTGACCGACATGTGGGGTGGTCTGCCGACCGAAATTATCCCTGTAGTCTTCTCTGCGAATGGGCTAATCCCAGTCAGCCTCTCGGGTCATCTGAGGCGACTGGGACTCCGTGACGGACCACTCCGGGCTCAAATGCAGAAGGCGGTGCTCCTCGATACCGCCCGCATCGTCCGCCGGTTTCTTTCCCTTTCCCCCTAACTTTCTTTCTTTCTGGCTTTCTGAGCAGTCTCCGTCAATACATCTTGGCAAGATCGGATGATCCATTCTATAATGACGTCATTTCTAGTGATAAAGGGATCTATCCTTAGCCAATGAGCAATGGCAGGACCCAGCAGTGCTTAGCATTTCCGACCGGGAGACCGTATGGAAGGAGAAGGAGCTCCACGGGAGGTACTACAAGGCTCTACATGAGCCCTTCGTAGATACAGTCGCCTCCCTCAACTGGCTACGTTTCGGTGATCTCTTCGGGGAAACCGAGGGTTTTGTCTGTGCAATACAGGATCAGGTTATTAAGACCAACAACTATCGGAGATACATCCTAAAGGATGGCACCGTCGACGTCTGTCGAGCTTGTCGCCATTCCGGGGAGTCACTCAGGCATGTCATCTCAGTTTGTTCGGCGCTTTCTAACTCTGAGTACTTGCACAGGCACAACCTAGTAGCCAGAATTCTACACCGTGAGCTCGCTCTGAAATACGGTCTCGTGGACCGGAAATTGCCGTATTACAAGTACTTGCCGGAAGCCGTGCTTGAAAATGACCGCGCCAGGCTCTACTGGGACCGGGCCATCATCACAGACAGGACTATTCTTGCGAATAAGCCTGATATTGTGCTGATAGACCGGGCGCAGTCAAGGATATTTTTGGTCGATATTACCATCCCGTATGACGAACCTCGTGAGAGCCGAAACAGATAAGCAATCAAAATATCTGGACCTGGCTCACGAGGTGACCGACATGTGGGGTGTTCTGCAGGCCGAAATTATTCCTGTAGTCGTCTCTGCGAATGGGCTAATCCCAGTTAGCCTCTCTGGTCATCTGAGGCGACTGGGACTCCAGACAAATGCAGAAGGCGGTGCTCCTTGATACTGCCCGCATCGTCCGCCGGTTTCTTTCCCTTTCCTCCTAACCCTTGGCCGTTTGGTCTCCCCTACAGAGGGCTTCCATCTGGTTGGACTTTTATTTATTTATGTATTTTTGAATTAATTTTATTTTATTAATATTTATGTATATTTATCTTTTCATTTTCATTTATAATTATATATTTATACATCCCAACCAGATGAGAAAACTATATAGATACCCCATATAATAATAATAATAATAATAATAATAATAATAAACGCACTGCGGGCGTACTTTAGGGCAAAAAGGGGAAGAAACAGGATGTTTGGCATATCGGGCTCGGATGCATCGCTTTTTTGCAGAGCTGGAGCCATCTCTATCCGTCACTGAGCAAAACCTGGCAGACCGAGTTCGGTACATCCTGCGCTCCAACATATTTGGTGACGCCGAACTCGAACGACTACGACGTGAGGCTGTTCCCTCATCGGATGGAAATGCTACGGCTGGGAATGCGGCGCCACTAATTGCGCAGCAAACTGCAAATGTGGACGCTGCCGTCAATATTCCATTTGTGGTTGATTCAGACGATGATGGAATAGTCCCCCACGAACTAGAGAAAATGAGGAGCATATTGGAAGAGTCGATGCTGGAAACGCGCAGCATGCCTCTCGAAAATCGACCGCGACTTCCCCCGCATACCCCTTAGCAAGCGAAATCGGGCTGTCGTGCGGGCTCTTAACCCAATGCTGGTGACATATTTGGAAGCCAGCCGGGACCTTTGCGAGACGGACTCAATTCTTTTTGGCGCCGCACTGGCAGTATGCCGTATTATTGGCGCCAAACTTCCCATGGCTGGACGTGCTACTCAACAAGGTAGTGCCATCCCAGCCTGGAGAAAAAGAATCGAGGACCGTATCGCAAAGGCAAGGGCCCTTATCGGCAGACTGATAAGCTTCAGGTCGGGTAATATTAGACCGAGAGTTGTGCGCACCGTTAGAATGGCGTTTGCTGGGACAAATATTAGTTTGTCCCAGCCGGATATCACGCAGAAACTAACGGAGCGCATAGATGACCTGAAGCAAAAAATCGCTGCTTGGGGGGAAGCGGATTCGACGATTTAGCGAGAGGTCAAGGCGGTTCAACCAAAATCGTCTCTTCCAGAGTGATCAGAAGAGGCTCTATAAATCATTGGAGCGACCAGAGGTATGTGGAGCGGGCCCAGGACCGGATCAGGCTGACACTGTCGCATTTTGGCGTGGCCTGTGGTCAGAGCCCGTAAACCACAGCGAGGGCCCTTGGATGGAAGTTGTGGCGATCCAGAGTGCAAGTGTTACGCCTATGGACCCCGTCACCATAACGCCTGAAGACGTGGCTGAGGCGGTCCGTAGGGCCCCGAACTGGAAAAGTCCGGGGATCGACGGGCTGCATCATTACTGGCTGAAGGGGTTCGTAGTGTGTCACGCTGTGCTCGCCCGACAGTATCAAGAGGCTCTCGATCAGAAGTCGCTCCCGAGCCTCTTCACTACTGGGATCACTCACTTGGTTCCTAAAGATCAGGATACCACAGACCCGAGCAAATACCGCCCCATCACGTGTCTACCCACTATATATAAGACACTGACATTCATTTTGAGCGCGAGAATCACTCGTCACCTGGAGCTAAATCAGGTGATGTCACGCGCTCAAAATGGATGTCGGGGCGGTGGTCGTGGAACCAAGGAACCACTCCTCATTGACGCGGTCATTGGCAAAGTGGTAAAACGCAACCGTCGGAACTTCTCCGCCGCCTGGATAGACTACAGAAAAGCATTCGACTCGGTGCCCCATGCATGGCTAAAGAGGGTCCTCGAGCTGTACAAGATTGACTGTACAGTTAGAGACTTCCTCGAGCAGTGTATGGGGCAGTGGAGTACGATCCTCTGTTATCAGGGCGAGCGGATGATGGCTGCGGAGAACCACATAAGGATAAGAAGGGGTATCTTCCAGGGCGATTGTCTGAGTCCAATCTGGTTCTGCCTCTCTCTGAACCCTCTCAGTACCTTACTGGAGGGCTCCGGGAGAGGATTTCAGCTACGGAAAGGAGGAACAAAAGTGACCCACCTTTTCTATATGGATGACCTCAAGTTATTCGCCTCCAGTCGCTCCCATCTTATGGAATTGCTAAACATCACTTGTGAATTTAGCAATTCCATTGGAATGGAGCTGGGGACGGATAAGTGTGCGGTCCTTCATGTTGAAAGGGGAAGGGTTGCTAACTCTGAGGGCATAGATTTATCTATGCCCGTCAACTTAAAGACCCTTTCCGAGGCTGAAACATACCGATACCTGGGTATGTCACAGAACATCGGTATCGATGAGGCTGGTATGAAACAGTCAGTTTGCGACGTGTTTTATGCACGCTTGACCAAAGTGCTTAACAGCCTTTTGTCCGGTGTGAATAAGACACACGCATATAACGGTTGGGTCATGCCTGTCCTCATATATACCTTTGGCATACTCAGGTGGACTCAGACCGAACTTAACGCCCTGGATAGAAAAGTCCGCACTACCATGACGTCCCATAGGATGCATCATCCGAGATCGTCGGTAATGAGGCTGTACTTGCCGCGAAAGCATGGTGGGCGTGGTTTTATGAGCGCGCTCACCATGCATAATCGCGAAGTGTGCAGCCTCCGTGATTACTTCCTGGCGAGATCGGATGATCCATTCTATAATGACGTCATTTCTAGTGATAAAGGGCTTACCCCTCTATCCTTAGCCCACGAGCAATGGCAGGACCCAGCAGTGCTTAGCATTTCCGACCGGGAGACCGTATGGAAGGAGAAGGAGCTCCACGGAAGGTACTACAGGGCTCTTCATGAGCCCTTCGTAGATACAGTCGCCTCCCTCAACTGGCTACGTTTCGGTGACCTCTTCGGGGGAAACCGAGGGTTTTGTCTGTGCAATACAGGATCAGGTTATTAAGACCAACAACTATCGGAGATACATCCTAAAGGATGGCACCGTCGACGTCTGTCGAGCTTGTCGCCATCCCGGTGAATCACTTAGGCATGTCATCTCCGGTTGTTCGGCGCTTTCTAACTCTGAGTACTTGCACAGGCACAACCTAGTAGCCAGAATTCTACACCAGGAGCTCGCTCTGAAATATGGTCTCGTGGACCGGAAATTGCCGTATTACAAGTACTTGCCGGAAGCCGTGCTCGAAAATGACCGCGCCAGGCTCTACTGGGACCGGGCCATCATCACAGACAGGACTATTCTTGCGAATAAGCCTGATATTGTGCTGATGGACCGGGCACAGTCAAGGATATTTTTGGTCGACATTACCATTCCGTATTACGAGAACCTCGTGAAAGCCGAAACAGACAAGCAAACAAAATATCTGGACCTGGCTCACGAGGTGACTGACATGTGGGGTGGTCTGCCGACCGAAATTATTCCTGTAGTCGTCTCTGCAAACGGGCTAATCCCAGTCAGCCTCTCGGGTCATCTGAGGCGACTGGGACTACGTGGCGGACCGCTCCGGGCTCAAATGCAGAAGGCGGTGCTCCTCGATACCGCCCGCATCGTCCGCCGGTTTCTTTCCCTTTCCCCCCTAACCCTCGGTCGTTTGGTCTCCCCTGCCGAGGGCCTCCATCTGGTTGGGCTTTTATTTATTTAAGTATTTTTATATTTATTTTATGTTATTGATATTTATGTATATTTATCTTTTCATTCTCATTTATAATTATATATTTATAGAACCCAACCAGATGAGAAAACTATATAGATACCCCACAATAATAATAATAAGGATGATGGAACACGGAAGAACGCGCAAAGGGCCGCTGCCTGGAGGTCGCCGGGGCGCGTCTGGAGCTGGCGCTGGACGCGGCAGCATGCGAACCGCCAGCCGAGCGCGAGGTGTTGCACGACCACCCAGCAGCCCCTCGCATCCATCATCCCCACCAGCTGGCTTGGTGTCGGCAGGGTCTTCGCGGGCCCAGCAATCGGCACCGCCTCTGGTGGAGTACGCCGCATGCGTTGGACAACCCAGATGAACAGCAACTCATTGCGGGCGTATTTTGGGGCGAAAGGGGGAGAAACTGGATGTTTGGCGTATCGGGCTAGGATGCATCGTCTTTTTGCTGAGCTGGAGCCATCTTTAACCGTCACAGAGCAAAACCTGGCAGACCGAGTTCGGTATATCTTGCGCTCAAATATATTTGATGTCGCCGAACTCGAACGGCTACGACGTGAGGCTGTTCCCTCGTCGGATGAGAATGCTACGGCTGAGGATGCGGCGCCACAAATGGTAGAGCAACCCGCAAACGTGGATGCCGCCGTGAATACCCCAGTTGTGGTTGATTCAAACGATGATGGAACAGTCGCCCAGGAACTGGAATTAGAGCATATGAGGAGTACATTGGAAGAGGCGATTGTGGAAACGCGCAGTACGCCTCTCGAAAATCGACTGCGACTTCCCCGCATAGCCCTAAGCAAGCGGAATCGGGCTGTCGTGAGGGCTCTGAACCCAATGCTGGTGACCTATTTGGAAGCCAGCCGGGACCTTTGCGAGACGGACTCAATTCTTTTTGGCGCCGCGCTGGCAGTCTGCCGTATCATAGGCGCCAAGGTTTCCACGGCTGGACGCGCTACTGGCCATAGTAGCGCTATCCCAGCATGGAGAAGAAGAATTGAGGAACGTATCGCAAAGGCTAGAGCTCTCATCGGCAGACTGATATGCTTCAGATCAGGCAACAACAGGCCAAGAATTGTGCGCACCTTCAGGATGGCGTTTGCTGGGACAAATGTCAGTTTGTCCCAGCCGGATATAACGCAAAAACTGACGGAGCGCATAGATGATCTGAAGCAGAGAATCGCTGCTTGGGGAAAACGGATTCGGCGATATACCGAGAGGTCGACACGGTTCAACCAGAATCGTCTCTTCCAGAGTGATCAGAAGAGGCTCTATGAATCTTTGGAGCGACCAATGGTAAGTGGAACGGGTCCAGCACCGAATCAGGCCGACACTGTAGCATTCTGGCGCGGCCTGTGGTCAGAGCCCGTAAACCACAGCGAGGGCCCTTGGACGGAAGTTGTGGCGAGTCAGTGTGCGGGTATTACGCCCATGGACCCCGTCATCACAACGCCGGATGACGTAGCTGAGGCGGTCCGTAGGGCCCCGAACTGGAAAAGTCCGGGGCTTGACGGGCTGCATCACTACTGGCTGAAGGGGTTCATGGTGTGTCACTCTGTGCTTGCCCGACAGTTTCAAGAGGCTCTCAACCAGAAGTCGCTCCCAAGCCTCTTCACTACTGGAATCACTCATTTGGTTCCTAAAGACCAGGGTACCACAGACCCGAGCAAATACCGCCCCATCACGTGTCTACCGACCATATACAAGACACCAACATCCATTTTGAGCGCGAGAATCACTTGTCACCTGGACTCAAATCGGGTGATGTCGCGCGCTCAAAATGGATGTCGGGGCGGTGGTCGTGGAACCAAGGAACCACTCCTCATTGACGCGGTCATTGGCAAAGTGGTGAAACGCAACCGTCGGAACTTCTCCGCCGCCTGGATAGACTACAGAAAGGCATTCGACTCGGTGCCCCATACATGGCTAAAGAGAGTCCTCGAGCTGTACAAGATAGACTGTACAGTTAGAGACTTCCTTGAGCAGTGTATGGGGCAGTGGAGTACGATCTTTTGTCATCTGGGCGAGCGGATAATGGCTGCGGAGTACCACATAAGGATAAGAAGGGGTATCTTCCAGGGCGATTGTCTGAGTCCAATCTGGTTCTGCCTCTCTCTGAACCCTCTCAGTACCTTACTGGAGGGCTCCGGGAGGGGATTTCAGCTACGGAGAGGAGGGACAAAAGTGACCCACCTTTTCTATATGGATGACCTCAAGTTATTCGCCTCCAGTCGCTCCCATCTTATGGAATTGCTAAACATCACTTGTGAATTTAGCAATTCCATTGGAATGGAGCTTGGGACGGATAAGTGTGCGGTCCTCCATGTTGAAAGGGGAAGGGGTTGCTAACTCTGAGGGCGTAGACTTATCTATGCCCGTCAACTTAAGGACCCTTTCCGAGGCTGAAACATACCGATACCTGGGTATGTCACAAAACATCGGTATCGATGAGACTGGTATGAAACAGTCAGTTTGCGACGTGTTTTATGCACGCTTGACCAAAGTGCTTAACAGCCTTTTGTCCGGTGTGAATAAGGCACACGCATATAACGGCTGGGTCATGCCTGTTCTCATGTATACCTTTGGCATACTCAGGTGGACTCCGACTGAACTTAACGCCCTGGATAGAAAAGTCCGCACTACCATGACGTCCCATAGGATGCATCATCCGAGATCGTCGGTAATGAGGTTGTACTTGTCGCGGAAGCATGGTGGTCGTGGCTTCTTGAGCGCGCTCACCATGCATAATCGCGAAGTGTGCAGCCTCCGTGATTACTTCCTGGCGAGATCGGATGATCCATTCTATATGGACGTCATTTCTTGTGATAAAGGACTTACCCCTCTATCCTTAGCCAACGAGCAATGGCAAGACCCGGCAGTGCAGAGCATTTCCGACCGAGAGACCGTATGGAAGGAGAAGGAGCTCCACGGGAGGTTCTACAAGGCTCTACATGAGCCTTTCGTAGACACAGTAGCCTCCCTCCACTGGCTACGCTTTGGTGATCTCTTCGGGGAAACCGAGGGTTTTGTCTGTGCAATACAGGATCAGGTTATTAAGACCAACAACTATCGGAGATACATCCTAAAGGATGGCACCGTCGACATCTGTCGAGCTTGTCGCCATCCCGGTGAGTCACTTAGGCATGTTATCTCCGGTTGTTCGGCGCTTTATAACTCTGAGTACTAGCACAGGCACAACCTAGTAGCCAGAATTCTACACCAGGAGCTCGCTCTGAAATACGGTCTCGTGGACTGGAAATTGCCGTACTACAAGTACTTGCCGGAAGCCGTGCTCGAAAATGATCGCGCCAGGCTCTATTGGGACCGGGCCATCATCACAGACAGGACTATTCTTGCGAATAAGCCTGATATTGTGCTGATGGACCGGGCACAGTCAAGGATATTTTTGGTCGACATTACCATTCCGTATGACGAGAACCTCGTGAAAGCCGAAACAGACAAGCAAACAAATTATCTGGACCTGGCTCACGAGGTGACCGACATGTGGGGTGGTCTGCCGACCGAAATTATTCCTGTAGTCGTCTCTGCAAACGGGCTAATCCCAGTCAGCCTCTCGGGTCATCTGAGGCGGCTGGGACTACGTGGCGGACCGCTCCAGGTTCAAATGCAGAAGGCGGTGCTCCTCGATACCGCCCGCATCGTCCGCCGGTTTCTTTCCCTTTCCCCCTAACCCTCGGCCGTTTTGTCTCCCCCTGCCGAGGGCCTCCATCTGGTTGGGCTTTTATTTATTTATGTACTTTTATATTTATTTTATGTTATTGATATTTATGTATATTTATTTTTTCATTTTCATTTATAATTATATATTTATAGAACCCAACCAGATGAGAAAACTATATAGATACCCCATAATAATAATAATAATAGTAATTGGAAAACGTATAGGGCCGCTGCCTGGGGGTCGCCGGGGCGCGTCTGGAGCTGGCGCTGGACGCGGCAGCATGCGGGCCGCCAGCCGAGCGCGAGGAGCTGCAAGATCACCTAACAGCCCCCCGCATCCATCATCCCCACCAGACGGCTTGATGTCGGCAGGGTCCTCTCGGACTCGGCAAGCGGCATCCGCCGCTGGTGGAAGTGCGCCGCATGCGTTGGACAAGGGATATGAACGCAAACGCATTGCGGGCGTACTAAGGGCGAAATGGGAAGAAAGTGCGGGGATAGCGTATCGGACTCGGATGCATTGCTTTTTTGCTGAGCTGGAGCCGTCTATTCCCGTCACGGAACAAAAACTGGCAGACCGAGTTCGGTACATCATGCGCTCGAAAATATTCGATGATGCCGAGCTCGAACGACTACGACGTGAGGCCATTCCCTCATCGAATGAATTGGCTACGGCTGGGGATGAGGCTCCTCAGGCGACAGACCAGCTGCCACGCGTAGAAGCCGCCATGGATCTTCCAGTTGTGGGTGATTCAGACGATGATGAAATGGTCTCCCACGAACTAGAGCAAATGAGGAGTATATTGGAAGAGGCGATTTTGGAAACGCGCAGCATGCCTCTCGAAAATCGACCGCGACTTCCCCGCATACCCCTAAGCAAGCGAAATCGGGCTGTCGTGAGGGCTCTTAACCCAATGCTGGTAACGGATTTGGACGCCAGCCGGGACCTTTGCGAGACGGACTAAGTTCTTTTTGGCGCCGCAGTGGCAGCTTGCCGTATTATTGGCGCCAAACTTCCCATGGCTGGACGCGCTACTAAACAAAGTAGCGCCATCCCAGCCTGGAGAAAAAGAATTGAGGACCGTATCGCAAAGGCAAGGGCCCTTATCGGCAGACTGATAAGCTTCAGGTCGGGTAATAATAGACCGAGGGTTGTACGCACCGTTAGAATGGCGTTTGCTGGGACAAATATCAGTTTGTCCCAGCCGGATATCACGCAGAAACTAACGGAGTGCATAGACGACCTAAAGCAAAAGATTGCTGCTTGGGGGAAGCGGATTCGCCGGTTTACCGAGAGGTCAAGGCGGTTCAACCAGAATCGTCTCTTCCAGAGTGATCAGAAGAGGCTCTATAAATCATTGGAGCGACCAGAGGTATGTGGAGCGGGCCCAGGACCGGATCAGGCTAACACTGTCGCATTTTGGCGTGGCCTGTGGTCAGAGCCCGTAAACCACAGCGAGGGCCCTTGGACGGAAGTTGTGGCGAGTCAGTGTGCGAGTATTACGCCCATGGACCCCGTCATCATAACGCCGGATGACGTAGCTGAGGCGGTCCGTAGAGCCCCGAACTGGAAAAGTCCGGGACTCGGCGGACTGCATCACTACTGGCTGAAGGGGTTCATGGTGTGTCACGCTGTGCTCGCCCGTCAGTTTCAAGAGGCTCTCAACCAGAAGTCGCTCCCTAGCCTCTTCACTACTGGGATCACTCATTTGGTTCCTAAAGACCAGGTTACCACAGACCCGAGCAAATACCGCCCCATTACGTGTCTACCCACCATATATAAGACATGGCGTACTCGTCACCTGGACTCTAAATCAGGTGATGTCCCGCGCTCAAAATGGATGTCGCGGCGGTGGTCGTGATACCAAGGAACCACTCCTCATTGACGCGTTCATTGGCAAAGTGGTAAAACGCAACCGTCGGGACTTCTCCGCCACCTGCATAGACTACAGAAAGGCATTTGACTCGGTTCCCCATACATAGCTTAAGAGGGTCCTCGAGCTGTACAAGACTGACTGTACAATTCGAGACTTCCTCGAGCAGTGTATGGAGCAGTAGAGTACGATCCTCTGTCATCTAGCGTCATCAGCGGATGATGGCTGCGGAAAGCCGCATAAGGATAAGAAAGGGTATATTCCAGGGCGACTGTCTGAGTCCAATCTGGTTCTGCCTCTCTTTGAACCCTCTCATTACTTTACTGGAGGGCTCCGGGAGGGGATTTCAGCTTCGGAGAGGAGGTGCAAAAGTAACCCACCTTTTCTATATGGATGACCTCAAGTTATTCGCCTCCAGTCGCTCCCATCCTATGGAATTGCTAAACATCACTTGTGAATTTAGCAGTTCTATTAGAATGGAGCTGGGGACGGATAAGTGTGCGGTCCTCCATGTTGAAAGGGGAAGGGTTGCTAACTCTGAGGGCATAGACTTATCTATGCCCGTCAACTTAAGGGCCCTTTCCGAGGCTGAAACATACCGATACCTGGGTATGTCACAGAACATCGGTATCGATGAGGCTGGTATGAAACAGTCAGTTTGCGACGTGTTTTATGCACGCTTGACCAAAGTGCTTAACAGCCTTTTGTCCGGTGTGAATAAGACTAATGCATATAACGGTTGGGTCATGCCTTTCCTCATGTATACCTTTGGTATACTCAGGTGGATTTAGACTGAACTTAACGCCCTGGATAGAAAAGTCGCCTACCAGCCGTCCCATAGGATGCATCATCCGAGATCGTCGGTAATGAGGCTGTACTTGCCGCGAAAGCATGGTGGGCGTGGCTTTATGAGCGCGCTCACCATGCATAATCGCGAAGTGTGCAGCCTCCGTCATTACTTCCTGGCGAGATCGGATGACCCATTCTATAATGACGTCATTTCTAGTGATAAAGGGCTTACCCCTCTATCCTTAGCCAACGAGCAATGGCAAGACCCGGCAGTACAGAGCATTTTCGACCGGGAGACCGTATGGAAGGAGAAGGAGCTCCACGGGAGGTACTACAGGGCTCTACATGAGCCTCACGTAGATACAGCCGCCTCCTTCAACTGGCTACGTTTCGGTGATCTCTTCGGGGAAACCGAGGGTTTTGTCTGTGCAATACAGGATCAGGTTATTAAGACCAACAACTATCGGAGATACATCCTAAAGGATGGTACCGTCGACGTCTGTCGAGCTTGTCGCCATCCCGGGGAGTCACTTAGGCTTGTTATCTCCGGTTGTTCGGCGCTTTCTAACTCTGAGTACTTGCACAGGCACAACCTAGTAGCTATAATTCTACACCAGGAGCTCGCCCTGAAATACGGTCTCGTGGACCGGAAATTGCCGTATTACAAGTACTTTCCGGAAGCCGTGCTCGAAAATGATCGTGCCAAGCTCTACTGGGACCGGGCCATCATCACAGACAGGACTATTCTTGCGAATAAGCCTGATATTGTGCTGATGGACCTGGCATATTCAAGGATATTTTTGGTCGACATTGCCATTCCGTATGACGAGAACCTCGTGAAAGCCGAAACAGAGAAACGAACAAAATATCTGGACCTGGCTCACGAGGTGACCGACATGTGGGGTGGTCTGCCGACCGAAATTATTCCCGTAGTCGTCTCTGCGAATGGGCTAATCCCAGTCAGCCTCTCGGGTCATCTGAGGCGACTGGGACTCCGTAACGGACCGCTCCGGGCTCAAATGCAGAAGGCCGTGCTCCTCGATACCGCCCGCATCGTCCGTCGGTTTCTTTCCCTTTCCCCCTAACCCTCGGCCGTTTGGTCTCCCCTGCCGAGGGCTCCCATCTGGTTGGATCTTATTTATTTATGTAGTTTTTGTGTTTATTTAATTTTTTGATATTTATGTATATTTATCTTTTCATTTTAATTTATAATTATATATTTATAGAACCCAACCAGGTGAGAAAATTATATAGATACCCCAATATAATAATAATATTAATAATATTAATAATAATATTTATGTACATTTATCTTTTCATTTCAATTTATAATTATATATTTATAGAACCCAACCAGGTGAGAAAATTATATAGATACCCCAATATAATAATAATAATAATAATATTAATAATAATATTTATGTACATTTATCTTTTCATTTCAATTTATAATTATATATTTATAGAACCCAACCAGGTGAGAAAATTATATAGATACCCCAAAATAATAATAATAATGCCCTCCAGACGGAATTTCGGTCACGGCGGCCTGCCACAATGGAGGCTAGCCATCGACGCAGGACAGGATTATAGTGCCCAAGTGTATGCGCAAGCACAGGTGCACTCTCTATTCCCTCACTCTCATAACCCGATAGGACGATAAACCGACACGACCAGAGAGAAAGATCAGGCGCAGGACCAACGGCTTTACGTGCTTTCCGAGGCACGGTGGTAAGACACCGCCAACTTCCTGACTCCGGGCATCTACTGAGAATTTCTTGACGGAAAAACTCAATAATTAATTTTTTGGCCCGACCCGGGATTCGAACCCAGGACCTCATGATCAGCAGTCGCGCTACTACAACTACTAGACCAACGAGGCAGTCATATATAAATATACTATATACATAAACAAAGTGGAAGTGTCTATCTGTAATACTGATATAACTGGCTTTTATTACGTAAAGGGTTATTTGCATGACCGCTGTTAAGACCTAAAAATATGTTTTTCAAATTTTTGCCTATCTATCTGTCCAGGTTAATCTTCAGAATGGTTGAACCGATTGTGATGAAACTTTATAAACTGATAGAGAGCTGCGTCAGGACGGATATAGAATATATTTTATCTAAAAAACTGGTCATTTTTTTCGAAAAATCAAAATATTGATAGGATAAATGGTCTTCGTCTGTATTAAATCCATCCAAAACAAAAATAGTTTTATTTAAAATAGTAATGTACATTCTGCGAATACTATAAACAAGCACTAGTTAGTTTAGATACCAGTTACTCGACTCAAAAGTCAGTAATTTCTTCATAGGGCAATGCTTACACAACAAAGTCTCAGAAAATATCCAGGCCTTATCTATCAAAGTTTAAAATTTTTACTAAGCAAAAGTTGTTTAGTACAAAAATTATTTGGGTATAGTACTTAGGAGTACAACATCATTAATAATAATTCCTGAGAATGAGGTGACCGCTACCACGCTGTTTGTAAATCTTTTCATGTTAATTCTAAAATAATATATTTTAAATTAATTTTATTAAAAAAAAGTCCCGCTGGTTCCGAATCAGTGGTAAAGCTTTAAATGAATTTCAATAAGTATTCTTGTAATCTGTATTGAATTAAAATGATTATACTCGTATTCTATTCTAATCATTTTTGGGTTCCCTATTAATCGTAAAAAGAATCTAGCTCATCATTAGTAATTAATTATCACCATCACGTCTTATATTTTATTAACGTTTATTTTATGTTATGTAAACCATTTTTCGGTTCCCTAACAAAGGTTCGATAACATATTGTTTTTGATTTCCTATTTATAATGTGTTTCGTTTCAATCATATACTACAATTTTAGGATAATATTTATAATATTCGTGATAAAATTAATTTAAATAAAGAAAAAAGCAAGAAAGAACGGATAAGAATGATAGAAGAATATCGGATAACTTCCAGGCAAATATTAAAATGTTCTGGAAACTTGTAAGAACTGCCAGGGGACATTCAAAACAGCCTATGATGAATGCTATAAGAGACGAGAATGGCTATATTCTGAATGATGAAGTTTTGAGTTTAAAGTGATGGAAGGAATATTTTGAAAGCGTGTTTATGAGTGAGGAGACAACGTGTGTACTAAGTGAAGTAGAAACACCGAAATAAGAGGAAAGAGATAGCGAGATAAGTATAGATGAAATAATGAAAGCAATGAAAAGCTTTCATTATTTCATCGTATGCGTAGGCATTTCCCCACGTAAAAAAAAGGTATCGGAGTCTCTTTATAGGGACTCTAGTGCTTGTGTTAGGATCAATGGGGTCTACTCGGACTGGTTTGACATCCATAAAGGTGTCAGACAGGGCTGTGTGGCTTCCCCGTGGTTGTTCAACCTATTTATGGACAGTTGTTTGCAAAATTTGAAAGTTGAAGAATGCGGATTAAGAATGGGTGAGTTAACCGTCAAATGCCTTTTGTACGCCGATGATCAAGTTATTCTTGCGTCGTCGGCGGCCGAGTTGCAAATGATGGTTACATTAATGAACGGATCATTAAAAGTAAGGAGTATGAAAGTGGACGCAAGTAAGACGAAGGTTATGGTTTTTGAAAGAGAAGAAAGTAAAACGATTTGTGAAATAAGAATAGGAGGGGAGTTGATCGAGCAAGTGGATGAGTTTGTATATCTGGGCCGCGTATTTAGCAGGGATGGGAGATATGATAAGGATATAGAACGACGAGTGAATGCGGGAAATAGAGTAAATGGGGCCTTGCACTCTATTGTGAAGAGTCAAAATGTGTCTAAAAAGGCACGTATGGCAATTCACAATGCTGTGTTGGTCCCTACTTTAACGTATGGTAGTGAAAGTTGGGTGTGGCAGAAGAAGCACGAGAGTAGAATAAACGCAGTATAAATGCGGTCGTTAAGGAGTATGTTAGGGCTGAATCTGAATGACAGGGTAAGAAATTGTGTAATAAGAGAAGAGTGTGGTTTGCAAGATGATGTTGTGACCAGGATTAAGAAAGGAGTGCTTCGGTGGTTTGGTCATGTGGAAAGAATGAATGAGGAAAGAGTGACAAAGAAAATTTATGGTGCAGAAGTGAATGGCAGAGTCGGAAAGGGACGTCCTAGGCGAAAATTTATCGACCAAATTGGCGATTTATTGAAAACGGGCCAAATTAGGAGTACCCTTAACCGACGAGCATGTA